TAGGTGACAATCTCAAAAGTAAAGATTTACACAGACAAAGGTGCTAACAGTTTCAAGATTGGTAAATCCTGACATTAAAAAAAAAAACAAAAGATTTACCAAGTGCTCATTCCTCCATACAATAAGTTCTATTTATATTACTTAATATTTGTTTTAGAGTTTAATAAAATGTGTTTTGATCACATTTGTTCCCTCCCCCAGCTCTTCCCATACTCACACCCCTCCTTTTCTTATCACCCAACATTGTGTCCCTCTTTCCCTCATCTTGGCCATTGTGTGCTACCATGTGGTCCTGCTCCGGAGCACAGTCAACCCACCAAGGGCTGTCCTCTTAGGGAAAACTGAACCTTCCTCTCCTAGCCACAAACAATTATCAATAACGCCTCCACCAGGGGCAGATATGCATGCCCAGCTCCCGTTGCCATCCTGGGATTTGGTGTGGCTTGGGCATGCTCTCACATCTGCTGTGAGTTTATATGCACAGCTCATATCTGCTGTTAGTTTAAGCAACTAGTTTAAGTTAAGTTAGTTTAAGTTTTATACTTTTAAATATAAAAATTGAGTAATCTCTTGAGCTATCATAAAGGTAGTTCACACATAAACATATATAGATGTCTTTATAATAATATATACTGTTTGTATTGAAGATATATATCCAAGGGCTCAACGTATTCAGGCTGTTCCCACTTATTATATTCTCTCTAGAATTTATAGTATGAAAAGTATCTACCTCCAAATTGACCTTTGCTTATCTTGACTATGTTCCTGCATATCTATCTTTTACAGAGACATTAATGGTTTTATCATAATGACACTATTTTTTGCATGTATACATTCCTACTTTTAAAACAGGTATTTTAGAAGACGTGATATCTCTTTCTCTCAGGATCATGCAAGTCAAAATGGCCTGAGTTGACTGACATATGGAGAAAGATTTTCTTGTTTGCCATTATATCTTATGTGTTGGCTATTTAAAAGCCCTAGGCAGATGTATATTGGTTTGTATGGTATTAAACAATATGCAGCTGTTCTGGATAAAACTGATACTGGCAAAATGATATTTATATTAATGTTTAGAATTTATGATAATTAATTTATGATAAAAATATGTTTCAGGGCTTGCTTATAGTCAATAATTCAGAGGTAAATGGGCTGGAGTGTAAGCAGGTTAGTAGAACATGCACAAAGATCTGGGTTTGATCTTTGGCCCTACTTAATAGTTCACAGAATGAGTAACAGTACTAAAGAGGTGGAAAAAAAGAAGCTTGGAATTCAAAGTAATCCTTGACTTTATAGAGAGTTCTGGCCAGGCCTTCTTGCATGAGACCCTATCTCAAAAAGAAAAGATGCTAATTGGTATTCTGGATGTTTCCGCATAAAAATATTTTCCAGAACAAAGTAACATGCAACTCATTTCCCAACTCTGAATATCCACCCTAACCAGAATAGAATTTATCCTGAGTAATTTTGTTCCATCGTAAATGGGCTTGCGGCTGAGATCTTAAATGTGTGAACAATTGGTCAGATAAAATTTTAGGAAACCTAAAACTGTCTGTATACCTGGGACCATCCGAGATGGCTCTGTGACAAAGAGGACTGAGCTGACCTTGAACAGACTGGTAAGCACAAGAGGCAAAGAGAGACACGGAAAAGAGGAGGAACAAAACTGAGAAGGAGAGACTAGTAACGGCCATAATCATGAAGCCATTGCTGGGGCAGCCAATGAGTTGGAGCTGCTAAGCAGTGACCAGATTGTGTGAGAATCAGAAGAGTGAGTTTGATGGGAAAACCCTATAAAATACCTGCACGCTATCTACAAATAAGGTAAAACATGCCGTGCCCAGGGATCACATTTTTATTCTCAATGAATGTGTAAGCCTAAGAGGTTGTCCCGTACATAGAGACCTTTGTGCTACATAAAGCAAAACCTGCCTTACATATGCTATCTAAAGCTCCATTAAAATGACCATTAGCAAAGGCAAGACAAATTTAGTCTCCGCACCATGTGGCTTTCCTATCCCTAGAGACTACAAAGAAAACTAATGTCCTCGTTTCCAAAGAGTGGTGCTATAATTAAAGTCTTATTTCAATGACCCTAACCACTATCATAATAGAGTTCACTGTCAAAAGAGTAAGAGAGAAAGAATTCCTTTTGGTCAGTGAGTCTCATAAAAGATACGAGCAAACAATCATTGTTGTTTGTTTCATCAATATTTTCCAACACCAATTGCTCTGCTTATGATCATATGTCAGAAGTAAGAGATAAGTTCCTCCAAAAATATCTCTAGCCCTGCCTTCTAACAATCTGCAGTTTTGTAACCCTTCCTGCGTGTTAAGATAACATCTTTCCTGAAAGGAGACTCAAAAAAGTCATCAAAGGCTTTATGTTTGAGGTAAGACCTTTACTGATTAATTCCCTTCAGTAGTTACCAATTTATTAAAATTAATAAAAGCTCCCCAAAGACAGTCAGTATGCTTTGAAAATCAAAGATTAGCATCATATATACTTAAATTATACACATTATTATCAAATAAATTTATGAATATGAGTTGTTAGTTATCCACGAAAAGGGTTATAGATGCTCACTCTCCTGCAAAACATCACTGTTCTGGGAAGAGATTCAACAAATTCACCTAACAGACTCACAAGCAGCCTCAAGAGGAAGCTAATGGCTCTTCCAGGTGACTCCATGATGCTCTTTAAGATTAAACATGTTTTGGTTTTACAATTGGCTCCTTAGACGATGTCCACTTACACTGAATTGACAAGCGCAGTGTTATAGCAACACCATAGTTGAAAACCACCCTGAAAATAAGTCTGAGATTAAAAAAAAAAGAAGGAAATAAATGCTGGGGATCAAGCCACAAAATCTACCACCAATACAAACCCAGATGTGCCAAGATGTAGCATTTGCAGTGTCTTCACTAAAGCCCTGCTAACTGAATTGTGTGTGGAACTCTTAATTAACTCCAGTATCTGGGTAACATACAAGGTTTGTTGTCCTGATTTTTGTGAACTAGTTCACTCTGCATTCCTCAACGGCTTCAATGTCTAACACATTTCTTGGAGAACAATCTGAGCACAGCTTGTGTCCGCTCACAGGAATAGGTCATGTTTGGTATTGCTATGCTTACAACAGGAAGAATAATCGATGAAGATGATCACCTATGCAGAAAGCTACTAATGCTTGTATTCTGGGTGATGATTGACAGGTCAGATTCAAGGAAGTGGTGGAAAAGTGGGAAAATGCAATTATAGTCTATTACCTTTGTTCTCACAGCTGCTTTCTTCTTTTGCTGGTAAGAAAGTAATTCTTTCTTAAAACCTCTTAGTTTCTTGAAAGTAACTGGACACAGTCAAGACCAAATACCAGATGTTCTAGTAATAAGTGATGACTAAATCCTTTGCCCGTTCACTCTTTTATACAGTATATATCAGAGGGTGCCCAGAAATTGGTTAGGAAGAAGTAGTTTTTCATGCACAGATATGAAACAAAGATGTTTGTTCAGTCACAATGGAAATAAAAGCTTCCGAATAAAAATAAAAGATTCAGAAGAATTATTTGCAGCCATCTCTAGGCCTGGGGATTTTTCATGTGAACCAGGGAAGTTTTGAAGTTGCATTCAGTGTTAATTAATAAAAGTCTTGGGGCTGGAGAGATAGCTCTGCAGTCCAGAACACATAATACTCTTGCAGAAGAGTATTTGATTTAATTGCTGGTGTGATTCCCAGGACCCACATGACATGGCTCACGACCACCTGTAACTCTGGTTCCAGGGCATAATGTGCCTCTGTTCACCACAAGCATACACGCACATACATAATGAATTTTTATTTAATTTACATTTAAATTCATAAAAAGCGGTCTGGGAAGATGGCTCAGTGTTTGAAGTGCCTGATGCTCAAGCAAGAGAACCAGAGTTCAATTCAGGTCCTCAACATCTACTTAAATGCCAGGTTGGCATGGCAACCCACTTATGAACTAGCATTGGAAGGTGGAAGCAGGATTCCTAGGATAAGCTGGTCAGTGAGGCATGCCTCACTAGTGAGCTCTGGGTTTGATTAAGAGAGTCTGCCTCAAACGAATAAGGCTGGAGAATTATCAAAACAATTCCTGACATTGTCCGTAAGCCTGCTCATGCACCAATACTCATATGCATATGCACCAGAACACCTGTGTACATGCACCAGAACACATATGCACATGCACTGGCACACATATGCACATTCCCTGGCACACATATGCACATGCCCTGGCACACATATGCACATGTACTGGCACACATATGCACATGTACTGGCACACGTATGCACATGCACTGGCACACATATGCACATGTACTGGCACACATATGCACATGCACTGGCACACATATGCACATGTACTGGCCTATAGATGCACATTCACCAGCAAATATATGCACATTCAATGGACACATATGCATATGCACCAGCAAACACATACACACACACCTGCAAACACGCATGCATCCATAAGAAAGAGAAAAATGAAAAAAACTATACGAATTGATGATGAGCTTGTTATAATCACTACTTTAAAAGGTAGTCATTTAAGTGTCTAATCTCATCTTGTAATTCTATAAATCAATACATGAATCCATTTAAAAGGACTGTGGATTAGTAAAGCAAGCACGTGCATTGATAGTAAAGATGCAGGCGACAGCTTCTGCTGTTGACAGCTTAGGAAGACTGAGCATGCAGGGAGAAAATATCATGTGGATACAACACTGTATCTACAACTTTTCAGGTAAATAGAACAGAAAATGAATCTTTTATTTCACCCAGAATAGCAATAAGCATAGTTTTTGCTTGAGTGTAAACAGGGACAAAGTGATTCCTCTGAGTTGTTAATAAGAAAAAAAAACCAACTATTTCGAAGAATAGAGCATGAACATTAAGCATCAGTATCTATATGAAATCCACATGAACCATGGGTGAAAATAAAAGCAACTATTCTTTTTCTTTCTTTTAACATTAGGTCATGGAACTAAAGGAGTATTTGAACTTCTGTCTGGATGGCGGAGAACCAAAGAGAATTTACCCTTCAAAGACAGGGTAGCGGACGCCTATTCTGATGTAATGGTCACCTACACCATGACCAGCTCCCTCTACTTCATCACGTTTGGTATGGGTGCCAGCCCCTTCACAAACATAGAGGCAGTGAAGATCTTCTGTCAGAATATGTGTGTCTCTATTCTACTGAACTATTTCTACATTTTCTCTTTCTTTGGCTCTTGCCTGGTCTTTGCTGGACAACTAGAGCAAAATCGATACCACAGCATCTTTTGCTGTAAGATCCCTTCTGCAGAATACCTGGACCGCAAGCCTGTGTGGTTCCAGACAGTAATGAGTGATGGGCACCAACAGACATCCCATCATGAGACAAACCCCTACCAACACCATTTCATTCAGCACTTCCTTCGAGAACATTACAATGAGTGGATTACCAATATCTACGTGAAGCCATTTGTGGTCATCCTGTATCTCATTTACGCCTCCTTCTCCTTTATGGGGTGCTTGCAGATCAGTGACGGAGCTAGCATCATCAACCTACTAGCCAGTGACTCCCCAAGTGTTTCCTATGCCATGGTTCAGCAAAAATATTTCAGCAACTATAGTCCCGTAATAGGATTTTATGTTTATGAGCCCCTTGAGTACTGGAACAGCAGCGTCCAGGAGGACCTGCGGAGGCTCTGCAGTGGGTTCACTACAGTTTCCTGGGTAGAACAGTACTATCAGTTCCTGAAAGTCAGCAACATCAGTGCCAATAACAAGACCGACTTCATCAGTGTCCTACAAAGCTCATTTTTAAAAAAGCCAGAATTCCAACACTTTCGGAATGATATCATTTTCTCTAAGGCAGGGGATGAAAACAACATCATCGCATCTCGCTTGTATCTGGTGGCCAGGACTAGCAGGGACAAGCAGAAGGAGGTCATAGAAGTCCTGGACAAGCTGAGGCCCCTGTCTCTTTCAAAGAGCATCAGGTTCATCGTGTTTAACCCTTCCTTTGTTTTCACAGACCATTACAGTTTGTCAGTCACCGTGCCTGCTCTGATAGCAGGCTTTGGGGTTCTCCTGGTGTTAATCCTGACTTTCGTCCTAGTGATCCACCCTCTGGGAAACTTCTGGCTCATTCTTAGTGTCACCTCAATTGAGCTGGGCGTTCTGGGCTTAATGACCCTGTGGAACGTCGACATGGACTGCATCTCTATCCTGTGCCTTATCTACACTTTGAATTTTGCCATTGACCACTGTGCACCACTGCTTTACACGTTTGTACTCGCAACTGAGCACACCAGAACACAATGTATAAAACGCTCCCTGCAAGAGCATGGGACAGCCATTTTGCAAAACATTACTTCTTTTCTTATTGGGTTGGTCCCCCTCCTCTTTGTGCCTTCAAACCTGACCTTCACACTGTTCAAATGCTTGCTGCTGACCGGGGGTTGCACGCTTCTGCACTGTTTTGTTATCTTACCCGTGTTCCTAACCTTTTTTCCCCCTTCCAAAAAGCATCACAAGAAAAAGAAACGTGCCAAGCGGAAGGAGAGAGAGGAAATTGAATGCATAGAAATTCAAGAGAACCCTGATCACGTCACCACAGTTTGAAGGTGGAGACTTTTTTTCTTTCCAGTGTTGCACAATGATACAGGGCAAGGAAAGCTCAGACCTCAGCTGCTTGGGCTGGCCAGGGGTGACAACACAAGTCAGATCTAGAGTACTTTGCTCGTGATACATCCAAGGGTCTGCTTTCTGTGGGGGGCAAGAGGGGATAAAAGGAGGGAAAATTCTCTGCAACCTTGTTCTCCATGAGAGATACATTTCCAGACATTGATTTAGAGCTATGTATTTCCAAGAATGGATGGATTATATGTTAGGACAAAAGGCTGAAAGAGCTAAAGATGCAAAAGAAAGGCTTAGAAGAAATGGAGAGGAGCGAATAGGTGGCCTCCAGATAGGGGGAAGTCATAGTAAATGTCTCAAATGCCGTGTCACTTTTCATGTTTGTTTTTGGAACAGGTCAGTCAAAGGAAACCTATGCACGTGGGCAGTATGTATTTAACCCTTTCTAAACCAAAGGACCACCCAATCCATTTTGTGTGTACATATAAGTAAGATACTTATGTTTGTCTTTAGTGTACATTGGTGTTTGGGTGAAGGAAGGTGTCCATTTGCAGACAAGCTGGCCTTTCTTTCGAAAGTCAAATCAGCTTTTGCCAAATATATAAGCTCATTAGGGGGTGATGCAAAATATATAAATGGCCACTTAAAAATCAACTCGACTGTCTAGACAGCGAGAGTGTTCTCAACTGTGTGATAACAAAATAAGCAGAAATTTGAATCCATTAAATTCTACACGTCACGTTGTTGGTCCTCAGGATTCTAGCGAGGGATGACATCACAGAGACATCAAAAGATATTTGAGTGAATTAGCATGTGGGCAAATGTTTGAAACCTAAAATAGTTGAGATGGCTTATCATTAGCCTTTAACATTCCTGTGTATTTGGAAGGCCAGCATGACTGCTTTTGGATATCTCACCCACCTGCAGACGAGCACTTTAAGCATATTTTCCTTGCCAACCTAAGTAAGAGCACATAGGATATGTGTGAGAGGGGAAGGAAGAATGAGATAACATCCCACAGTTACGCCTTCTTATTTTAGATGGTGAAAATCCATGCCCGTGGCATATAACAATTAACACGGGAGAAAGAAAAGACATGGGAAACTCGGAAAGAAAAATGGACCAATGCATCAACTAAACATCACACAGCCCTTAGCATTAGAAAAACTTTCCAACTCTGTAGACTCTAGTGTGCTCTTTGGAATAAATTTGGAGCATTAACCCAGGCCATGATCACTATGATAGTAGTCATCATAGCTGCGGCAGCATCATCTTGTAGTTTCTTGTAGTTATCAGTGTCTTGTTAGCTAGAAAGTCGGCTCCTACCACAAGCATAGGTCTCTGCAGGGATCATACTAATCATGTGTAAATACTGCTCGATTCTTTACATCAAACAAAAGTACTGAGGTAAATGTTTCCATTGAGTTAGAGTTTAAATCTGTGCCCTAGGCAGGTACTCAGCCCGCTGGGTACTTAGATGGACTAAGCCTGTTATTCATGTTGGAGAAGTTACCAGACAATTCCTTTTCCTTGCCAAGTGGGGGCTTAAGGAACAGTTTATCTTCAGGTAGAATAAAACAAAAGTTCAGTGATGGCACAATCTACTAACAAGCTCTTTTTTCTGAAGAAAGTTGATATTTCCCACTAATTTGGGTTGCATAATTTAATCACATTAATAATATTAACAGAGTTAAAAGGCCAAGCATGACTGAGCTCTTAGGAAGACCCCTTCCGTTTACAGTGTTTGGGAATGATGTTGACATATTAGTGAAGCAGGAGCTCTGCCTTCGTAAACCGTACAGATTCTAAAATGGCCGTTAGTTAAAGACAATTTCAGTTTATCGTATGCCATTTGTTCTATTCTACCTTAAGGCCACCGTGTTTCAATGTTCCCACGACTGTAGGTGCAGTAACTGTAGAATTAGCTAGGAAATCTAACTGCCTGTAGCCACATTTGATGCTTTCTCTGTTTCTGTATAATCACGTCACAGTTAAGGCCAGCCTTTCATCTCATGAACTTCTGTGCTAGGGAGAGCTGGCTCTCAGACAATTGACCTCTAGGCCATGATCTTATGTTTGAAGTTGAATTTTCTGAGCAGTCCTTGGAGCAGGAAACCAGAATTCCTCTTTCGCAGTGACTCATCATCTGTGAAGATTGCTGTCATTCGCATCTGTTTGTAAAGATGGCCACAGAAGCTGAGGATTCCGTTCCACCCCATTTCTGGCCATATTCCGTGGTACTCCATTAGTTCACCTGTTTTGTACTTACAGTTAACTTATTTGAGTTTTATAATGATGATCAATCGTTTCAGATGCAAAAACAAACAAAAAGATTGCCAAACTAATTGACAATCTTGCCAGTTGCCAAATTTATAGGAGTACAGCTACATAGTCTGCCAAACCAATGATTTTATTCCCCCCCAATGCACCTGGATAGGAAAAGACTTCTGCGTTAGGTAATGTCTTCAAGGATCAAATGTGTAGGGCAAATAGGAATTTCTCATTGTCAAACTGTCTAGAGAGGGGGCATTTGAGAAGAGATGTTATCTTCTCCAGAGCGCCATGATTCTCTCTAAGGACTTGTAGCAATAATTTAATGGAATAAAACTCCATGTTCTGGACGAGTTCATGGCACACCCCAAATGCCTTGACTTGGCCTTCGGAAGTGATGTAAGCCCCAGAAGGACCTTGCCAAGCATCAACCAAACCTTCCAGTCTCACTGTGAAGCAAGTATTTCTAAAAATTCCTCCAGTGAGTACCAAGATGCACCCTACATTCTGAGGTCATGATTTGAAGGTAACTCACCATCATTAGCCATGTCTGGGAGCTTGCATTCTCCTCTCTGGCTTTGCAAGGTTACGCTCACCTCGTCCATTTGCGCAGCATTGATGGCATTCAAGTTAGGAATTTCTCTACTGTCCAACAGAGGGCCATTCAAACCCTAGAAGGAATCAGAAGGAAAACCTAGATTTGTGGAATATTTTATTTTACTGTAATGCGCTTTCTCTTAAATTGGGAGATTTTAAAGAACTTGTGACCCCCGCACCTTTTCTTGTCTGAACTGGATTGTGTCCCCATCAAAATGTGAAGCAGAAAGTGTTGTGTATGGTCCACTCTCCTCAAAGAGGAACTCCCCTAAATTATCAGACAAGTTTTATTTAACTATTATCCCATGGGCTAACCTACATCACGGATAAGTCTGCTGAAAGAATGTGTTCTTACATTGTCCCTTGGGTCCTTGCAGTGATCACGAACCCCTTTGAAAGCTGTGCGTGAGTAACTGTCATCAAAGTTTGTCTTTAGGTGAATGTCTTTCTCCCAATTTATTGCCATTTAATTTTCATAGAAATAAATTCACCTGTTGTATCTTGTGTTGTGGAAGGAATAATTGTGGGGCACAAAGCTCCTAAGATGCTAGAGCAGCCATTCTTGTGTGTTGAACTTGAATGTAAGAGCTATGTCCACTCTGTAACTTTCCATTGCACTTTACCAGAACAAATTACTCCTTCTAGACTTGTGACTGGAGCTGGGGGTTAACTATTGCCATTGAAAGTTTGTGTGTATTTTTATACATTCAATGTAAATATTGTCAGTACAGTCAGATATTTCTATGACCAAACAGTTATATAAATGCATGGCACAATGCATGCATGGTTCCTAATAGTGTGTAGCTTATTAAAGACACTATTTTCAGAGCCATTACACTTTCTATTAAAATTTTCATAGCCCCTATCATAAATGTCTTATAGGGTTTGGGTCACAAAGGCCCCAAGTCTACAGAAAACTTCATACTAAGGGAAGCAATCAGAAAACTGCCTTCTCGTATGTCAGCAGCAGCCACCTGTACTAAGATGGCACTGAGAAATCCCAGGAACTAAGTCTCGTCTCTTGGGTAAAAGACCAGGCATTTGTCCATAATTAAACATATGAACAGGCCCTGGGTCTGCTAAGGTCATAGTAAACCAGAAGTTGTTGTCTCCTAGGACTGGAGAATTCTGTGAGTTGCTCACTCTTCCTGGGGGCGGGGGGGGGGTCTATGTTCACTCAGCTTTGCTGCTGCCTACACAGTGTTCTGATAATTCTTTCAAAGGTGGCCCTGGAAACTTTCATTTATTTCAAGAGACTTTCAAGATCAACTTCACTCCGTTTTTAAAAAATAACAAATTCTTGTTCTTCCTGTTTCAAACGAAAGAGCAAACAAACAGCAAAAAAAAAAAAATAGTAACAAACAGCTATGACCATGTTTTATGGCATCGAGTCAAAACATTTAAGGCTGAATTAATATGCCCTTGAAGTCTCACCATCTCCAATCTAAAGACAAAACTCTGCATCATCTCGGTAGCACAGGCCCTGATGCCAGCTTTTTTTTTTTTTTTTTAGCAACGATTTGCAGATACACTACACAGAAAATAATTCCATTTTTCTTTTAAAGTTTTTTCTTTAGAAATGACTGTGGTGATGGTGACCAAAAAGAAGGTCTTTGCATGACGTGCAGCACACAGGCATTGCGAATGAATGTCGTCTTACTTCTGTTTCTGGACCAACCGTCGTCTGGTTCAGATGACCAGTGTTCATCCACAACGTGATGTAGACAGGAAAGCGGGAGGGAGTGCTCTGTGCTCCAAATGGTTTGGAATTTGGGAAGGTGACATTTGGATGAGATTGGAAGATGCTGAAAGATGGATAAGGCTGCATCTAAGAAGTCGTGCTGATAGGGAGAGTGGCATCAGTAGAGTCCTTACATACTAGACTTTACAGGTTAGAAAATAACACTGGAGATCTGATAGTGCATCCAAACTAGAGGTTCTGAACTGCTAGCAAACCTAGCTGTATGCAGCCACATCCCACTTGAAGATCATGTTCTTGTTTATAAGATTCAGTCATTGAGCCTGCTTCTGGATTTCTAAGCATGGCCAGGTATGCAGACCCTTTTGTGAGTGAGAACAAGAAGCTAACAGACTCTGGAAAGAGTTCAAATGAACACCCAGGGAAGTCTTCATCTTCAGCATATGCTGTGATACATATAATAACTTTGATCATTCTTATGCACTTAACAAGGGCCCCTCTCTATTGTTGATAAAGAAGTCATTTGCTTTTCTTTTGAAATGGAAAACAATTCAGAGAAAGAAATATATGAAACCAGTATGTGCAGTGTACGTAGCTGTTACATTGGCCATATCTTAGCTCTTCTACATCCTCAGCTCTTCTACATCCTCAGAGACATTGTCAGGGTAGTAGGAGCTTAGACTACACTGGGCGTCTCTGCCAGATAGGTCTTTTTAATCCAATAAAAGATTTATAAATAAGATCATTGGTAGTTTTGCACTTTTATAAACTAACGGGATCCAGTCCCTAGTATTTCACCCAGCTGAATTTTCCCTAAGAAAGCTGTGATAGGTCAAACTAATTATGAAATCCTAAAGATCGAAAAGAAAGTTGAGGACACGGGAGTCGGAATGACTCACAGACTTTTGGTGATTCTTGCTGCATTTCTTGGGCTCCGGTTCACCAGTCTCAAGCTGGTATTAGTCCTTTGTAGTTGTGTTCCAGTTTGCTGCGTGGCTCCTGGCATGCCTGACATGTTTCCTTTCCGTTTGTTTTTGCAGTTACTAAAGCGACTCCATTATCTCCAGGGCTCTCTCAATCCAGTGGAGCAATAAGCGTTTTAATTTTTTTGGAAGATTTCATTGAAGTTGTCTCCTGGAAAATGTTAGGAGTGGCCACCATGGGTAAAAGATAAGTGGAGCTTATTACAAACGTGTCTCTTTCCAGTCCTGAACAGATTTAGCCTGTGCTCTTGGTCAAGATTGTCCACAGAACCCTGTGAGAAACATCACATTATCTAAGTGGGAGAAGGAAGTAGAATCGCCCACTGGAAAGTGAGATCACTTCCACCGTCAGAGTTGGTAGATTACTAAGTACTATAAGCCATAGTGAGAGACCCTGAAAACATATAGGCTGGTTCAATCTACAGCAGTGGCACCTGTGTGGAATCAGAATATCCCAGCATGTTTTCTCCTCCAAGATAAAAGTCAGGTACTGCAAACTCTGACCGTTCGCTCACCGATGTGGTTATCGCGAGGTATCCAGAGAGCTTATGCGGCAAGCTTATCATATGTTCCCATTAATTACATATTTCTTTTCAGCAATAGACTTCCTGGCTCTTAAGTAGAAAATCTGTCACCGTTTGAAAAGGGCAGAGAGCTCACTAAGCTACCTCGCAGGGGTACTTAAAGATAAAATGGCAGACAACCTTTAGCTAAATGGTAATATATTAGATTTATTGCCCTTTCACTTTGTGAACGTACCAAGCTAACTACAAAATGAACACCCCAATGTGAAGCGTTACCCGGTCGTACCATTAACTGTAAGTATTCATCCATGACATCATTTGGTGCAGCTGTCCAGTTATCTCT